GGAAGAATCTGTCCAAATTGGGAAGTTACGTGGGTTGGGGTGCGAGGGCAAAGCCTCGCGGTTTGGTACAGAGGTAATGTTGTAATTACATATTGTGCCTAGGGTCTACTCCTGGGGTTATAAATAGGCCTGTTAGTAACCCCAGGAGGTATTACTGATTTCTGTAAACCCTTTTCTGAATATTGAAAGGAACTTGCCGCTCTTCTCCCGAGGACGTAGGCATCTTTGTCGAACCTCTTTAAATCTCTGTGTTCTTCTGGATTTGTGTCGATTACTGTTTTTCTTCGCCCTAAATTTCTCAACAGGTTTGATTTGTTAATTCATGTGATTTTGTACCACCACCATTATGAAAGTTATTAGAAAGCGAAAACAGTTATATTAAAAAGTTCTAACTTAAATTTGATTTACATGTTTATTTATTTATTTATTGTAGTGTATATGATAATATAGATTTTTATGATGTACATGAAAATATAAAAATTTAAGTATTAATATGATAATATAGATTTGTATGATGTACATGAAAATATAAAAATTTAAGTATTAGATATTTAAATAATTTAAGTGTTAGATCAGTCTCTGACTATTTACATGAGTCTCTCCTAGAGTGCCTAAAAATGCTAAAACAATCCTCAGACCTTTTTAAAATCAGGATTGAAACAGTTTCCATAAGGAACTATCAAAATTCAGTTTTCAAATAATCTGAAACTATCTTAACACTTCTATAAACTTGAGACTAAAACAACCTCATACGAATAATCAGAGACTGCTTCAACACTTTACACATATTTAAAAATTGAAAAACACATAATTCTTATGTGCTACATACCTAAATGCCCCTTAAAAAAAACATATTAAAACTTAAAACCCATCTTTGGTCGTCATAAGATGATAGCTATAGAAACCTATTTCTTATTTTAAGCAATTTATTTTTGTTATGTAGTTGATCACACAAATATATAATAACTTCTAACTCCAAAAAAAATATAATTTTAACTAACATAACAGTACTCACAAATAATGAACTAATATTCATCAAATGACGTGTCTAAGTAGTCCACCCAAGCTCAAGTCAAAAACTCATTCCCAAGAGGTGGCGAAAACTTGCCCAATACTTCTGAAACGTGGCAGCCATTGATGGTCAAAGAAGCCGCACTCGAATGGATATTCACAAATCAGAGTTGAATTTCTCCTCCCTTTTAGTCGTCTTCTTCACCTTCAAATGGCGGCCATCTACAGGACTAATAACCTCTTTACTCTTGCTGTCTCTCTTAGTTCGCTCAACTTCCTCGCTCCTGCCCCCCATCTCCTCCTCCTCACCCTATCAAAAATCTAGCTTTTTTTAGGTTTTTGCTTCTTGCTTCTTCTTTCCCGTTTATAAAGCACCCACCTTTCCATTCCCTTCTCACGGTTTCTCTCTTCTTCTTCCTTCCTAAACCCCAAAATCCCATTTTTTTTGCTGCTCGGAAGGGATGGGAAATTCAGATTTATCGTCTGGCGACGGCTTTGAATCTGATGACTCCGGGATTGTTAACAGCATCAGCATCGAAGTCATGGTGGCCGCCGTGATCTTCCTCTTCCTGGTAGTCGTCTTCGTCCTCTTCCTTTACCTCTATGCTAGAAACTATTGGGGCAGCTCCCGTAGACGAGCACAGCAAATCGTCGCCGCCGGCGATGCTCCTACCCCTACCCGCGGGCTCGAGCTTTCCATCCTCCGTTCTCTTCCCGTCACGATCTATAACCGGAGTGATTTCAAGGACGGGCTCGAATGCACTGTTTGTCTCTGCGAGCTCTCCGATGGTGAAAAAGCTCGATTTCTCCCAAAATGCAATCATGGCTTCCATCTTCAATGCATCGATATGTGGTTTTACTCTCACTCGACCTGTCCGCTTTGCCGCTGCGCGGTGGGCTCCGAGGCGGCAGCCACCGGCGACGACAACGAACCTGCTTCGCCGGCGTCCGCCGCCGCCGGAGATGCAGACCCGCAACCAGAATCTCCGGCTTTTCCCACAAATGTCCTGTTTTGGGGGAATCAGGACCAGGTGAATTCACGGACCTCCGCGAATTCCACGAGAAACTTAGTCATCATGCTTCCGAATCGAACGGCCGGAGATTTTTCTTCTCCCACATCTCCATTGCCGTCGAGCAGGTTTCCATTGGAGAACATCAAGTCGCCATCGGAGGAGGTGAGATCTCCGGGAGCGTCAAAGTTGAGATCTTTAAGGCGGCTCTGGAGCAGGGGAAAGAGGACGACTGATTCCAGCTGCACTAGTCCCATTGGAGCTGATATTGAGCAAGGTTTCGGTGTCTCCAATGGTGAAGGAAGCTCAAATCTTCCTAAAACTCCTTCAAGCTCTTAACTCAATCTTCTTCAGCAATGAAAAATGTATAAAGAATTATGTATAAAGAGATTAATTTCTTTATTTTTCAAGGAACAGAGAAGCACATCTCTGATCTCTCTCCCCTTCTATCAAGATGTGATTATCAAGCTTTCTCTATTTATTTATTTTCTGTATTATTGTATTATTATTTATTTCTTAATTTTTTTTTTCAGTTGCTACAAATTAAAAAAAAAGAGATTAAATTTTGATCCTGACGTAGTATTAAACTGAAGCTACTGAAGTTTGTTCTGTATGTGGTTAGGTTTAAGTCTGGTGGGATGGCGTTAGGCTTCCTCAATAATGCTTTCATTATTGAGATTGGCTAATTGGAGTTAGGCCTCAAATGATGAGGATCTGTAGACTGAATAATGTCTTCACTATTATGTTGGAGTGTGACAGATGGTGCTTTTTGGTGCGTAGCTTTTGGCATAATAAATTTAGGGTTTGGTTTATGGACTCAATATTGAAGGCAAATTTGGTGTTGATGACTTGTGTTGGGGGCATTTGGACTAATAAAATACTTGTGATCTAGTTAGGGTTAGGTTAGCATGTGTTTAAAATTCTTTTCTTATTTCATTTCTTGTGGTGCAAGTCAGCATGTGTAAACCCTAATTCTTGTATTTTCGTCTTTTATCAGAGTTAAATTGATTTTTGTCACTTCACTCGTAGATATCATCTCTTATTAATCGTCTTCGTTCTTGTTGTGTCACTCTTACTGTGCCGCCATTGTCATGTCACTTCCTTTATGATTTATGTCATTGTCTCAATGTTGTATTTTAAATACAGTCAATAAAATAAAATAAATGTATATTAATTTTACCTTACTATTTCAAATAAAATCAAATATGTTAGTTTTATATAGGTTGTGTTTGATTCTAAGTTGGCTACCTATTCTTAGATGCTTGTATATTGGTGGATTTCTTTCTAACGTGAGAATATTCTAATTTGTCAAAATTATAAGTTGACTTTTTTTTTTAGTTTCTCCTTCCACAACATCTTGTTTCTCAAGTCAATGATTTGGGTTTAGAAGTTTGAGTGCAACATTAGAGTTTAAATTTTGTTATAACCTGACTTGGAAATCCCAAGCCTTGTCTTGGCTCTATCTCCTCCAACAACCACCATGCAATTTGGCTTTCTCCCAACCACCACTCGGCATAATTTAAGATGTACTACAAGTACATCACATACAACCCTTCTTCCATGATTATTGTCGGTCTAGTCTTTTTCTTTCTGCCAAAACCTTAGTGGTCAACCCTATGCCCAAAGTGGACCAAATGTCGACAATAATTCAATCTTTTTCTTCCAATTGTAAATTATCTTTACATTAAATCTTATAAGATTCTACGTAAGACTTTATATCGTAATTTTAGATACTAATTTGGGAGGAGCACTTCTTCTTATGACCATCAAGCCGATATTCTCATATAAATAAGTAGTTGTTATCCATTAAAGTTAGTATGAATGATAAGAGAAGCAAAGCTTTGTTTCACTTTAAAATAACAAGAATTGATAAAGAAAAAAATAATTTTTACATAGAAATTTAAATAGATTATAAAAAGATTATAATGGATGTTACTTTTAAAGGCTGACATGGTACAATAAAGTCAGAAAGACACTGAAGTCCCAAAATTCAAAAGAAGGAAAAGGAGGCTTTCTTTAATTGATGGAGAGCAAGCAATTATAGGTGTTTAGCTGACTATTGGCATTACTTAATGTAATATGAAGACATTGGACATGACTGGATTATGCTACAATTAATGCGTTATGTTGATAATTGCATATAATATTAAAACTACTTTGGTGTTATATAATCGCTTGAAAATTGATTCGAGTTTTAGCTCGGATCGAGTTGGCTCGAAATCAAACATAATGAACCACGAGCGAATTTCAATTTGAAGTTGATTCATTCGAGCCGATCTCAACTTTTCTCAAAATCAGATCGTTAACAGTCATAGACAGACCAACATTTGAAGGTGAACAAAAACTACTAAAAATGGTCTGACAAGTCTTCCTTTCGGAGTTGAAGGTGGTACGTCTTGAAGGGAAAAATGAAGCAGTGCATGAAAGTCAATTCACCATCCTGTGATCTTTGTGGTTTGATTATCTTTATCTAACCATTGTGCTTGATGTTATTGTTTGACGGTTATCACTCCATTAAGATTATTTGATATCTATTATTATCCCTGAATTATTTCTAACTTTATTATAACAATATGAGATCAAATTATGTTAATTTATCTACGGTGACTTAGTAAACAAATTGAGATGTAGGTATCGAGCAACGCTTAAAGCAATGATTGACACAAATCTTTTTGTGCAATGAAGTTCTTCACTAGTGGTTCAGCTTGATTCGACTACTTCGACAGGTCGGTTCGACTACCTTGATAGTTAGTTCAACCACTTAAATCGATGGACTCAGTTCGACCACTTCAGCAGATGGACTCAGTTCGATCACTTCAACATGTAGGTCTAGTTCGAGAATAACTAGATCTCTGAATATGAGTCTCTTGGGCTCCTAAAGCTTATTATAAAGTAAACTGAAAAGCCTTATTACATCATGTGGTTGTTTTTAGGTATATGTATACATTATCATTTGAATTAAATTTGTGAAAATGTGCTCTTTTCTTTTATTTATGTGTATTCAAAATCTAAATAACATTAAAACACAAAAGTTTAACTCTATCACCATAAATTCTCGTGCCCTCAATAATTTTCATAATAATAATAATAAATTTATGCCTGAAATGTTGTTTTATTATATTTTTAAAATTTTATCTCAAACTAATCTTTAAAATTAAAATAAAAACGAAAATTAAAATAATACATTTTTTGATGAGTGAGCTTGGAGCATGGGACATGTGGGAGCAAACTCCCAATGGAAAAAAAATTGCATACATGAGACGTAGATGCATATGTCTGTAACCTGCAAATAAGTTACAGAGAGGATATTCAGAGGTTATAACAGCGTTATAGCCCCTGTAACCTCCCTGTAACCTACCTATATATGAAAACAGAAGTGTGAAACTCATTAGAAGGTACAAGTAAATTATAGGGAGGTTATAGGGGCTACAACGCGGTTATAACCTCCAAATATCCTTCATGTAACCTATTTTCAAATTACAGAATCTGCGTATGTCTTATGTACTCAAAATTTTCACCAATCAAGAGGCCATCGTCTCATCCATTAATACATAAATAAAAATTGAAATTTTAAAAGCTAAACAGAATTACGCCACTTCACACCCAACTAAAAAAAAAATACATTTGCGAAAATGGGCAATTTTGCTTGAAAAAGGGGCGGAAGGAAGGAGAAGAAACAGAAGAGAAGAGATTCCTTTTCTTACTGGTTGCAGGATTCCTTGTGCAGAACCTGGAATTTGCGTGGAAAATTCGGGGCTTTCGATCGGCACAAAACGACGGACGAAAGGAACAGTACCAATTTTATAGAAGAAAAGATGATCTCTCGCCGCTGGGGCTTCTCTTGATTAATGACTGCGCGATTCTTTCGCCCGAATTTGAAACTCCACGGAATCTTTTTCACCGTAACAATTTCCATTTCCAATCTTGAAATAGATTCTTATTGCCGCTTGGAATGTGTTCGGGATCGGTTGCTCATTGGTAAGCTCTAGCAGATCTCATTTCCTGCATGAAATTTCTATGAATCAAGAAGAAGGAATTGCAATCGTAAACACTAGAACTGTAGTGGTTATCTGGTTCTAAACTGAGGTGGTCGACGAGCTTTCTAGTTCTGTACATGGTTTTGCTTTGCTAGGTTGCTAGGTTATTTAGAATTTGATTTTCATTGCTGATCTATGAATCAAGAAGAAGGAATTGCAATCGTAAACGCTGGAACTGTAGTGGTTATCTGGTTCTGAACTGAGGTGGTTGACGAGCTTTCTAGTTCTGTGCATGGTTTTGCTAGGTTATTTAGAATTTGATTTTCATTGCTGAACTGTGCATGTCGTTATGTTAAAGAGGGAAGCCTTGGGATTTATCTCCTATCCTCGATGTCTGATGGCCTTAAGTAAGCTTCAGTTTTCCAGCGGAGTCTTTTATCCATGCGAATTAAGGGAGCTTGATGACTCTAGCAGAATCAAGGGGATGTATTTGACTGAATGGAGTCGGAGCTCTGCTCTCAGCTCCTGTAATGCTATGAGAGTGAAATGTTCCTATGATCATAGTGATGTTCCCTTTAGACGACACGATGAGAGATCTAAAGCTCATGCCATGGCTCCATTGCGGCAGATATTTCGTGATTCGAGAGTGTTAAGGAAGCAGGCTGGGAAAGAATTTGTGAATGGATTCGGGAAGCCTCTTAAATATCCTCAACAATGGAAGCGTGAGAAAATAGCAGTTGCTGTTGATGTTGATGAAGGTACTTCTCTGAAAATCTTCCTTTTTTCTTTATCAAATCTATATTTATGGCCCATAAATATTTCTGTTTGGGCAGAGTTCCTTTTTCAATGTAAGATATTAGTAACCTATCTAATGAATGTAAGTTTTGCTTTTATCCTTCCTGGTATTGTATTTTCAACTGTTTTATGAAGGATCTTTTAAATTGAATATGTAGTTATTGGAAGCATAAAAACTGTTTTCTTGTTTTTTTTAATCTTCAGGAATTTAGTTTTGATTAATTCATGTAAAAGTAGGACCTTTTTTATATGTATACATTGTTGCTGTTAATTGTGTGATTTATTTTGTTATGCAGCAATGTAGCTTTTTGCAATATAAACAAGAGCAGTACCATATTTACAGTAATTTAATTTTCTATAAGTGATCTACCATTGCTAGAAATGATAGAATTTCAGCTTATTTTGTGTATTATAGAAGCTTATGGCATCAACTCTGCCAGGCATACCAATGGACCTTTCTTTCTATGGATAGTTGATTCTTCTCCATATTCATGCTAATTCATAGATTTTATCTTTTAGTATTTATATCGTCGTGTGATGGAGAATACATTAAGAAGAAATGGATGATACTTGGGGGGAATATGGATCAATTGTCCAAAAGATCCTCATATTGTGTCTTGACAGAGATGACACCACATTGTTATGCATATTGAGATGCTAGTAATCAAATTTTTTTCAATGATTGGAGGTTGAGAATATATCGACTCAGTACATATAGTTAGGTATTATTTGATTTTAGGCCACCGGAAAGCCAAAATTGGGTAAGGCCAAGGCTAGCAGGAGAGGTGGATGCCTTACGTGGTTGTTGGAGATGATGTCGACGATTATCCTAGCTGCAGTAGTAGTGGAAAATGATCCATCTTGCTACCATTAAGTGATAGAAGCAACTTTCATTCTCTTGAAAGTGCTTGAAGTATAGCAAAAGATATTGATATTTGTTATTATCATCATCATTATCAGTTGCCTCGTCCTAACTATTTTATAGGATGTGACTAGAATAAAAGTCTTAAAAAACTTCCAACATCTTAGCTATTTTATAGGATGTACCAAGATTGAAGGTCTTAAAGAATTGTCAAAGTACAATTCCAAGAAAGCTTGATTATAACATATGTCTTTGTGTACCCTATTCTAGGTATCCAATATTACTAAGCGATGGATCATGAACAATATTAGATTTGCGGAACCACTCTATCTTCATCTTATCCAGATAGATAACAAATGCTCCAAACAATATGTATGTTTTACTGGATACTTCTAGGGGATTTATCTTATATTGAATTGGATTAATTTAGGAAGTATCAATGAATAGCTACAAACTTGGTTCTAACTTCCGAGACATTAACATTGCTAAAGTTGTGTTTGGGGCAACTTTTTATAGCTTTACTTTATAAAATCATTGCCACATATCTATTTGGTGGCAGCTTTTGTGTTGCTTTTAGAAAAAATTCTATAGCAAGAAGAGGTTCTCTTAATTTTTTTTACGATCAGCTTTACTAAAATGTGGAAACTGCAATAAAATTATTGATTTTTTTTTTGAAAGATTTTTTTTTTTTGCACGACATTTTTGTAAAATTTATGCTTTTTCAGCAGTATTTTTATGTCTAGTTTTATAAATAACGATAAATATTTCAAACGGACTCTAAATTTGTCTCGAGTGTTTTCCTTAAGGTGATGTCGTCAATAATATTTAGTCCGTCACCTTGCATCAATATGCTATTGAACACTTGAATAAATGTTGCATTTATCTATAAAATAACTATTAATAGAAATTTATTTGAAATGTATATATACATATATGTATATATATAGATACATATATATATACATTCATATATGTATATATATATATATATGTATACAAATAAAAAACAATCA